ACATTTTTGTTTTCCTTTCAGTTTTTCAGCTCAAGCTATTCTTATCTGCAATTCTGGGACAGAACTCTTGCCACAAAGCTACCTTCCCAGTCTTAGCCAAATTCTCACTTATTTACTCTTAGAAATCCTCAGAAAATTGATAGTTTTCCATTCTCTCATTAAAAATACAAAACAGAAATATTGCAATAAATTTAAAACTTAAGGCTATCCACGTATCATTTGCCTAAGGCAACTACTCATATTGAGTATAAAATCTATTAATAAGATACTCACACATTCTACGGTTACCTTAGTATATAAACACTCTTTCTTCAAACAAAAATTTTTCATCAAAGACTGATATAGCTGTGCAGTAGACTTATGACACCTCTGGCAAAAGTTTATTCTTTTGTCATTATTCTATCTATGAAATCTGGATTTTCTTCCTCCTGATGGGTTGCTGATATATGCTCCCTAAGTCTTTCCTCACTTATGTTTGTCCATACATACAGATCTGGAGAATTATAGCTGAAATTTTTGAGTGATTTTAGGCTACTTAGAAAGTAACTGCACTGTTCTCCAGCCATTGCTTATTAATAAACTATGGAAGATTTGCATTATGTGCTCCTTGGTCACAGCTTAGGCATATATTATACTTCCAGCTACTTTCAGGTTCAAACTGCATATTATGTTGATGATTGATGATGACGATGGTGGTGATGGTGGTGGTGATGGTGGTGACGGTGGTAGTGATGGTGGTGGTGATGATGGTAGTGGTGGTGGTGGTGATGGTGGTAGTGATGGTGGTGGTGATGGTGGTAGTGGTGGTGATGGTGGTGGTGGTGGTGGTGATGGTGGTGGTGATGGTGGTGTTGATGGTGGTGGTGGTGGTGGTGGTGATGGTGGTGGTGGTGGTAGTGGTGATGGTGCTGGTGCTGGTGGTAGTGGTGGTGGTGGTGATAGTGGTGGTGGTGGTGATGGTGGTGTTGATGGTGGTGGTGGTGGTAGTGGTGATGGTGGTAGTGGTGGTGGTGGTGATGGTGGTGGTGATGGTGATGGTGGTGGTGGTGGTGATGGTGGTAGTGGTGGTGAAGGTGGTGGTGATGGTGGTAGTGGTGGTGATGGTGGTGGTGGTGATGGTGATGGTGGAGGTGGTGGTGATGGTGGTGGTGGTGGTGATTGTGATGATGCTGGTGATGATGATAAAAGATGCATATATACACAATTGGTCTTTGAAAGTATAGCATCTGCTAAATAAAAGTATTTCATACCAAAGTCAATGATTTTTTTTGCCAAGTAACTAAATTTCTTGCAAATGGAGCTTAAACTTCAGGGGCCTAGCTTAACAAGGACCCTTAACTTACTGTATTCTGTATCATTTTTATTCTATATTTTGAAAAACATTTTCCAAATTATAAAAGTCCTCAGAAATCTAGGGAAACATCTGCCAGTAATTTCACCTTGTCAGCCAGTCTAACATGTTAGACGGAGTAGGGGAGCTAAGGGACAAAAATGACTTGTCTTCCTGGTGTTCTCACCCCTCACTCTATAGTTGGAGCAGAAGACAATGGCTGACAGAAAGAAGTCATTCTCTAGTTAACAGATCTGATCACACGTAACTGCAGAAATCACTCACATAAACATTCATTGCTGGCTCATGCCTGGGAAAGAGTTCCCTGACACAAGCTATGTTATTTCTAGATGACTTCAGATGACTACTTAAAAATGATTCCACCCTTGATTCATAAGTCTTCGATTTTCAGTATAAGCATTATAAAGATGTATGTATACAATAGTCCACCCTACTGATGAAAGGGATTAATTGGACATTGTCATTGTACAGTTTCCGTGCAAGATAGCTTGCTCTTCACTCCTCAACAACAATATAAACTATTATTTAAAATTAACGTACACACAAGAAATAAAAACAACCTTCACGTCTTACTTGTAGTTGCAAAGAGTAGAAGTAAATAAATATGCACATATATTGCTTGTTACATAGAGTTAGAAAATTTGAAAAATATAGGGATGACAAGATTTTCAGACAATCTATTGCTTGCTGTAATTGCAGTGAAAACACTCAGTTTATCAGTTTCCAAGTAATTTGTCCAGAGATTTTTCAGATACCATTTTCAATAAATTAGATATTAATTTTTAAACTTTTATAGTTCAACTCACAGAAATGTGTAAAGGTGCATTGATGTTGTTTACCGCTCCATGGCACATAGTACTTGCTGCTCACAAATACTTCTTCATAGTATTAATGAATGAGTGAGTAAGTGAATTCTATCTTCCCCAACCCAATCATTATCCTTGGAAAGTGGGAACATATAGGTTGTGTATGCAGAGTATACTTTACCATACAATCTGCTAAGGAAAATTACTTCTTGTTGTCTATAAAAGTTTTTGCTAACTGAAAAAACAATTGCTCCTTCCTGCTAAATCTCCATTTTCTATTCTAACTCTAGAGGGAGTGGGGCTTGAGAAAGAACCAGGACAAAGTGTAAATTGTAATGTAGACAGGCCTGAGCCACACATTTCTCCTAAGCCTCTGTTTCCTCTGAGATAGGTGACTATACCGTGCCAACTATATTGATCTTAACTTCAGAAGAACTAGAAATAATTTCTACTATGTTCTAAAGAATGAACCCCTTTCCTTATGAAGAAACCTATGAATAATTTAAGTATTTGTATTTTTGACTCTTGTTTTGCGTATTCTGTCCCAAGTAAATAGACAATCATTTTATCTGATGTTTAAAAGTTAGGAAAACAGGATCTTTCCCAGAGAATCAGCTCTAGATTTAAACTTGACTTCTCAATTCCTTTTAGAAATAAATTATCAATTATCATATTTTTGTGAGTTGAGCTTTAACAATTTTAAAATTATCTAATAACATCAATCATCCAATTTAAAAAATATGATCAAATGAAGCAATAATTTTACTTATTTTCTTACAAAACAGAGACAGAGTTTAATGATAATGAAATTGTCAAATCTACTTCATATCACAGATGTTTTAACCCTGTCTCTTTTAACTTTTAATAGAAGAATTGCCATCACTTTGAATGAATTTAAAAATATACCTTTACTACCAAAATGTAGTATCTATGCCATCATGCTTTACATTTTTAGTGAATATATATTATCACTAATATGTTAATTAAAATATAAGCAAATGGGTAAGTTTCCTGTCAGATGTGCAGCCTGCCCCTTAGTAAGGTGAAGAGGAAAAGCCTTTAAACTTTACCATAATTTCCTCTGTCCTCACTGGGTTTTGAATTCTTTTCCTAGTGATTCTACAGTAGCAAATTTCTAGAATTGAGAAATTGATGATATGAAACACAAGATTCTTCTCTCACCAAGCTTTACCACTATAAAAATATTTAGTTGAGATGCCTGATTCTGGCCATTTGTGTAGAATGCATTGTTTTCAATTTCACAAGGTCGTCAGATAGTGGTAAGTTCTTTTAAGTTATAGTAGTAGCCATGAGTGAAAAACATTGCTATTTTAAAATTTTTGATTTATTAGTGCTGCATCCAAGCTATTATCTATTCAAATATAAAAATCAACCCTACTGAACATGCAAAGTGAAAGTTTAGAATTTATTTTCATATTTTATCATTAATTAAACTGATAAACATAAAAATTCTGCAGTTCACTTACTGTTTGGTAACCTTGAAGAAGGGAAACCCAAGAGGGTCTTTAGAAGAATAAAAGAAATATATTGACAAGATAAAGTCTTCAGTGTGACTAAGTTTACTATCCTCAGTAAATTTAGCTTTATCAGAAACTTAGGAAAGCAAGAGCAATAAAAACAAAACATGAATCCTTTCTACATGCACAGGAAAATGTAAAAAACAACTTGTAAGTAATAAAGCATCCAGGGTTCTGATTCTAGGGCTCCATGCTTGAACATGGGAGGTTACCAGGAATTTTGCTTATGAAAATTTCTGTAGCCAACCAAGAACACGAAGATGGATTTCCAATGGTATGAGCAGGGTTTCCCACTCCATGACAAACATACCTTTGAAACCAAGAAAGTTTAGTTTGCCCTTCAAGAAAAGTGATTTATGGGAGGAGGGGCACATTCTACTCTAAAAGGATAGGAGAACCTTGCCTGAGGCAGTGTTGTGACATTGCCAGGGAAGATGATTGTGAAATACTGAGAGCATGTTTTTGTGGTGACGTCTGAAAGTACTGGCTACTGCGATGCTGTCTTCCTACCCTGCATGTCTATTTCCAGATCCACTTGCTTATAATTACTAATGAAAGCACGACTCTGAGAGGAGAGGTGAATTCTCCTTCAGTTCTTTATTATCCATTTACTGACGGTTTCTGGTGAAAGTTTCTAAATAAGTCTTTCCTACTTTATGTAAGAAAACATAATCCTGTTTCCTAATTGAATGAATAAGATAGTCTAAAGGTGACTTAATTTTCTGTATCACAGGCGACCTGTGTGTTGTTCTAACCTTGGACATCGATCAAGAACTGTCTCTAACTCCTAAAGTGCATGTTACAAATAATCAGCCAACTAAATCACAGTAACTAAGGGAAATCAGGACAAGTCTAATAGTAGCCAAGCTCTAAATAGGACTTTACATAAAAATAGAAAATGTGACTCAGAATACAGTACTAGCTCTTCTTAGAGATGTGTTCCCAACCATCAGAGTCAGCGTGGGCTGTGCCACTTGGAAGTGTGGCTTAACAGGCTAAATGGGACGAGGAGAAGGGGCTTTTCCCCCAGACTCCCTTTTGAACTATTATTTCACATTATTCCATGCTTATAGGATGTGCAGAAAATTCTGCCTATTCAGTTTTTCATTTCCTTAGTAGTTAGTTTGCAGTAAGCCTTACATTAGAAGAAAAATTGCCTTTCTGTTCTAATGACATTGTAAGTTCACAAAAGATATCTTAAGTAAACAAATGTCTGGCTTTCATTACTTATTAGCTGAATGATCACCATATCAAACAAATACACCAATGATTTCTGTGGTGCCACACCATGCACCAAAGAGAGAAAAGACTGAATATCTGACGATGGAAAGGACAGGACAGAAATGCTGTCATATCTATATCCTAACAACTTGCAAAGCCATTTGAGAAGTTCCAGATGGACTCCAGTCTCTCAGTAGCCCACAGGATTGAAGTTTCTTAGTTGGCTTAAATTATGAATTAGGGGTAAGTATAAAACTTTGTAGATATTTGTTTTTATAATTCTAGACATTTTGCTCTCACATACTTTTTTTTCATACTGGTTTTATTTGACACATTAGTCAAATTAAGTGTATTTTTAGAAAGCTTCTATTAAGGAGAGGTATAATGGGGGGGCATTATAACAATCCCTGTGGTGTATTACCAAAAGATTTGTACCCACATCTGCTTTGATGTGAGGGATCTTATCTGTAATTGTAATTATCTTAGAGGACTGAAACCCCTCCTCTCACTTCCCAGCCTTGAACTAACGGCAGGTGTTCGAAGTCCAGTTGCACAGTAAGTTCCTGTAAACAAAACTACTTATTTATAGACAGCTTCTCAGTACTGTTTCCATGAGCTCAGTCAGAATGCAACCAGAGTCACACATCAACTGTAAAGAAACATGAAGGCATCTAATCCTATATTTGTACTGTCACAATTACAAGTACATGAAGATGATCTTTTGGGGGAACTCAGGATTCTGAGTGAACACAGGCTTAGAGAAACACAGAAACAAGCCCATGAGCTCCTGCTTTTAGAGCAAAATGAAATAGGGCTGGCATCATGAAAATCTGCCAGCAGAGCTAAGCAAAATGTATGGTGCCTACTTCTCCTTTCTGGTCTTTCTTTTTTCTATATATGTTCATGGCAACCATTATTGGAGTGGGCGAACCTGGTTACACATACATACTATGAGGTGAAAAGTTAAACCATTCAATATTCAAGGTTCCCCACAAATCTTTGCCTTTTAAAACATTGAATGACAAAGTAAAATAACAATACTAATATTAATGCCTTCTTTTAATATATATTTTCTATAAATCAGTATTCTGTAACTATTTTTTGTGCAGATTTTGCATATATTTTAGAAGATAACGTCTTCAATAGTTTTCATATGTTTTTAAGTTACACAAGATAACTCCTTGTTTTTTTGTTATTTATTTCTTCTTGCTTTATGTGTTCATTTTTGTTTTATTCTTGGGCTTTTGGTTTTGATTTTTGCTTTTGTCATTTTTGTTTGTTTACTTAAGAGGGAAGGAAGTCATGGGTTTGAATTGGTTGGGAAGCGGGAAAGATTTAAGAGGAGATGAGGGAGAAGAAACTGATCAGAATATATTGAATAAAAAAATTCCTTCATTATAAGTAAAAATTAAAACAAAAAGGCATGTAGTCATTTGAAAAGATAAACAACGTAGCAATTTTAAAAAACAGTTTTATTAATTTTTAGAAGATACAATGGATTTTAATCATATTCTTACCCCTTCTTTAACTTCTCCTCCACCTATCCATCCATCCAACTTTATGTTCTCTCTCTCTCCCACCTTCCCTCCCTCCCTTCCCTCCTTCATCCCTCACACCTCAATCAGTACAACTATTTCACACTGACTCTCAAAATCTTCAGTTAAACATGATTACTTGAAAATATTCACCTTAAGAAACTATGTTTCATGAAGAAGCTAAAGTCAACATTTTGCTAATGCAGAGATATATTTCCCACTTGTAGCAAACAATAGGCAGATATTTACATATATATTAAATGAATCTATAATATATGAAATCAATCACAACACAATACATGAAATAAGTACAGACATCTGAGGAAGGAGGAGTAAACCCTTAGCCAAGCGATCTATTGAGATCTTATGGAGCTGCTTGAACTTAATAGATTTCCACTAAGCAACAACTTAAAATGAGGCATTCTTGAGCAGAAAGTGCTAAGAGGAAGTGCCAGGCAGAGGGGACAAGAAGAATACCACACAGTACTAAAGGAAAGTGCAGGTTCTGAACAAGTGCCATGGAGGAGACAGATTCCACTTGAGTAAGTGGAGAAATTTTCAGAGAAAGCAGATTGTAGTTAGATTTAAAAGGCATGTCAGATATTCTGTGGAAAGTCATCTCAGGTCTCCTGGAGCATATCTCTATTTACATTTCATTTTAAAACTTTGAATGTACATTAAATGAAAGATGGTCACAGATGTCTCTGTAGATGCTACAAATACATATTCAATCACTTTATATTTAGTATCTTAAAATCTTGTTTATATATTTGCTTACTATATTTTAACTCTAACCCATGTTTAAATTATAATCTCAATGAGAAAAGGAAACTTATTCTTGTTCCCCATATAGCTAGTGTCTAGTAAGTATTGTCACATGCTAGGAGTTTCTTAAATGGTTGATGAAGAGAAAGGATGAACATCTGGAAAGCTGGTTAACTTGTGCTAAAGTGTAAATACATTGGCTTAAAGTATCAGGACGGATCCACACACATGTGAGTCTACCACTCACTTGGGCAGCAAAGGCAGGAGGGTTGCAACACAGTTGAGACAGAATTTGAAAATTCTAGACAAGAGCAAGGATTAGAAGTTTGAGTAAAGGAGCAATGAGCTATTGCCAGTCATCTCCAAAGTATCTGTCTAATATAGGTATTTTTCATTAAGAAGTGGTTTTTGTTTTCCTTTAAAAAATGGAGGTGGGATTTTGAATAATTAAAATAGTGCTTTATAAACACAGCAATTTGAGGTTGCTTACTAGTGTATAAATCTGATCGAGCTGTCTGAGAGTGTAAGACCCTAAGTTTTAAATAGTTTTATCACACTACTTTTTTTTTGTTTGTTTGTTTTAAAATACCTACTCTTTAATCTATGTTGCTGCTGCTCACTCCAGAGGAAAAGGAAAGCCATAAGCAAAGAATATCTGTACCCTCGTGTGTTAAGAGCTGGCTCTTTGCTTTCTGTGTCATGCCTCATCTTGATTCTCTCGCTGCTTGCACTAACCAGTTGGAGGCTCTGGAGAAAGATAAGAACTATCAGACAGCAAAGACACTGTGGCTGATGGGCCACATCCACCTGCTTTACCTTTCATTTCTGACAGCAGTTCTGTCCCACTGTGGGCCATATCACAAATTCATTCTGTAGAACTCCAGTTCTGACTAGCTCTAGCTAACTTTCATTCAGCTGAAGGGACTACCTGCTTCTAGGGGTGCTAGCTCTGCACCCCAAATGTTTTCTTATTTCTTCATTTAACTCTTTCACACTTCTCTCAATGATCCCTTGTCTTTTTAAGTTTGAATTATATTTTCTTCCTTAACTAAGTATCATGACTTTACAACATTGGAGCTTGATAAAAGAGCAAGAACTTAAAATACAGAAAGTGAAAGTGTCTGTCAAACATTTCAATAGTGAATCTGCCTTCTTTTACCTTGTTTCCAAAATATCATACCAATTTTTTGACAAAAACAAACAAACAAACAAACAAACCCAAAGTAGTAGCTCCTCTGTTGTTACAGAAGACAGACAAATCAGAACCACAGAGTTAAACAAGGGCATACTAGTGAGGGCAGAGAAAAGGCTCCCTTGCTTGTAAATCAAGGGTCAGAGTTCCCTATCCTGTACTTGTCGCAAATGACTAGGTAACAAAATCATACACGTCTTACAGAATCCCGCAAAATCCCCAAAATAATCCTGGAAATCTTTAAATGGCAGAATTTATCCATTTTCATATATGTTCATTTCCTACAGGAAACTGGCATCTGTTGTCAGAGGCTTAAGAGCTGAGTCAATTACCAGGAGCAAAACATTTTTACCCAGCTGTGTGTTGGCTTCCACCTGTATATAAGTGGGTATAGCTGGCAAGCACCTTGATAACCATAGCAAGTATTTACTCTAAAAACTGTTGTCTAGAGAAAGCCCAAGGGGAGAAAATGACATGAACATGAAAAAAAGTTTAACAAGATTAAGTAAATACAGAATGTTCCTGTATGCTTTGAACATATTCTTGAAAGAAATCATAAAAAGAAAGTTTCCATAGAGCCTTTTTAAAAACAAACATTGACCACTTATTTTTACGTGGCTGTTAAAGAAATGGTGTATACCATTTATGTATAAGGAAATAAAGGAAAATACCTTGGGATGAGTTTTAAACAAATCTTGTATTGAGAGCAACATGAAATAATCATCTCTATTACATTAGGTATCTAAAAGGAATCCCCACAAAACCAATATCCGTAGAAATCAAAGGCTATCCTGAAGAGTGAAAGGGGTTAAATACTTATAGCACTACCACCTTGGATAAGAAAGACGCTGCAGGTTTACCAATAGTAAGTATACAGAATATCCCCTCAAGTCACCGCAGCCACTAGATTATTTGCTTTGAATTTACAGAATTGCTACCAAAAGACCAAAATGAGCTCAATAGACAACTTGAGGCAAGCTTGTCTTTGTCAAGAAAAGAATCAAAGTGTTGGTATAACAGAGTGAGAATGAACCCATTGCTTCCACAGTGGTAAGGGAAAAGATGGTTGTCATTAATGGGTGCAGTCGGAGCAATGGCACCGTTAGCTCAGAGTTTATCCACACCAAAGAGAAACTACTAGATGTCAAAGGAAGGCCTGCCTTCTATGACTTTATATGGCAGCACAATCTAGACCACATGACATCATGACAGCCATCATCAAATTCAACTCATATTGGACATCTGAGACATTCAGAGCTGTGAACAATAAGGAAAGACAATGTCTTAAATGAAAAATAAAATATTTGATAAGAGAACATTCTATAAATAGAAGTAAACTTTGTGAGATAGTGAAACCATGCCATTTTGCAATTCAATTGAGCTTTCTTTCTGTCAACCTTGAAGTGATCAAGGCCATTACTTTATGATACTAGCTAGTCATGGCATATCCCCAAGCCATTGAAAATTTGACTTCCACTGTTTTAACTCACTTGAAAACACTGAGAAAACTTCCACTGTACCTTGGCAACATTCAACACGTTTTCTCACTTTGTTGAACTACGTTGGTTCCTCTTTGGGACTGTCTGTATGGTAAGCTCTTAGTTTTATCTTTGCAGCCACACTTTCCTCTGGAGAGCTTTCCTCTCTTCTTCCCCTACATAACAAATGCATAAGACTGTCATCAATAAAATCTTTAAATTATCTTTAGATGGTTCTAAGTTGTTTATATAAGAAAAAATAATGTGTTTATAATCTTTTTGCTTTGTCTTCTATAGTACAGAGATTCATTGTAAAATTATACACTAACATTAACATGGGAACTTAACCAGTTATTGATAAGGACAGTATTTGTTCTCTAAATTTTGCAATGCTTTACTTGAGTTGTACAACTATGTTAGATTAACAAGAAAGTTATTATCAGAAGAAATTTAACTTAGTATAGCAAATTACCATGAATACCCTCTTTTTCTCAAATACATATATAACTTAAAAGACTTAATTCTATGCTTTTAGAGAAGTCTTAGATATTGGTTCTTGTAGCTTACTCCTTCTACTCAGAGAAT